GAGAGCCGGGACCATCCCAGTCCTCCTGACCTCAGTCTGCATCCTCACCCAGGCTCCATCCACCTCTGGTCCCGGGAAGTCTGAATCCTGCTGTTTCCTTCCCGCCAAATCCACGCCCTTCCTGGTCATGACGGCCACTTAAAACTCACAGCAGGAACTAAGGACACGGGCTGTGTGTGTATGTGAAGGTCAGAACTATGATAACCGGGTCAGAGCCATGGCACAATAGAGAGGGCGTTTGTCTTGCATGGACTCGGCCTGGGTTCAGTCCCCAGCATCCATATAGGCCCTCGAGCGCTGCCAGAAGTAATTCTGGCGTAACCCCTGGGCATCGCTGGGTGAGACCCAAAATGCAAAAGGAAGAAGAGCTTATATCACTAGAGAAGGATCACAGGCTGCCGGCACAGGCTACCATGAGGAGTCTCCGATCTATCCTGGCACCGCACCAGCCCTGAGTACCTAAAGGGGTGATGTAATGAGCACAGAGCTGGGTGCAGACTCCAGCACTGCTAGGTGCCATCCAAAAACCAGTGGAATAACCCTAACGCAATCCAACCCAACCTTAACTCAACCCTCACCCTAAAACTAACCCAACCCTGACCCTAACCCTAACCCTGACCCTGACCCTAACCCAACCCTAACCCTAACCCTGACCCTGACCCTAACCCAACCCTAACCCAACCCTAACCCTGACCTAACCCTAACCCAACCCAACCTTAATCCTAAAACTAACCCAACCCTTACCCTAGCCCAACCCTAACCCTAAAATTAACCAGCCCTAACCCTAACCCAACCCAACCCTAACCCTAACTCTAATACTAACCCTAACCCAACCCTAAAACTAACCCAATCCTAACCCTAATACTAACCCTAACTCTAACCAAACCTAACCCTACCCTAACCCGTAACCCCTAACCCTAAACACCTAACCCTAACCCTATCCCCTTAACCCTACCCGCCTATCCCTAACCCTAACCCCCAACCCTAGACCTAACCCCTTACCCCTACCCCATCTCTATTCTTACCCCCCAAAAAAGAAAAAAAAATAAACACTACAGCAAGTGCCAGAGAGCTTTCTTAAGGCAGGTGTGTATTTGGCAACATCCATGTATAACATATATCCAGACATAGACATTCACCGGGCTGGAGCCCCTCTCAGAGAGCCCGGCAAGCTACCGAGAGTATCTCGCCCGCACGGCAAAGCCTGGCAAGCTCCCCGTGACGTATTCGATATGCCAAACACAGTAACAACAAGTCTCAAAATGGAGACGTTACTGGGCCCACTCGAGCAAATCGATGTACGACGGGAAGACAGTGCTACAGTGCTGTAGACATTCACCGGCTGAACAGTTGAATCTTGCAGGAGTGGCTGAGTTCTGACCCGGACGTTTGGGGCTGGTCCCAGCACTGAGCAGGTGTCCAGCCATGCATGCTGGCAGTGAGCGGGTGTGAGTCTGTCGTGCTCACTCTGGCAGGAGCTCGGGGCCATGGGCACCAGACCGCCATGGGCAGTGCCTCTCTGAGGGCTCAGGCTGACTGTCAATTGTTAGTCAACTGTCCTTGGGGCCAGAAGACCGAGTATGACTTGGGTGACTCTCTAGGGACCCTCAAAGCCTCAGCCATTTTTTAAAAAGAAAGAAAAAGGGAGCAGGTAGAGCATTTGCTTGCATGCAGCCCACCCGGGTTCGAGCCTCGGCATCCCTACACTCCCTGAGCACTTTCGGGAGTAACTTCTGAGTGCAGAGCCTGGAGTAACCGCTGAGCACCACCAGGTGTGGCCTGAACAACCAAAACAAGAGCCAAAAACAGAGGGCCAGAGAGATAGTACAGCAGGCAGGGCGCTTGCCTTGCGTGTAGCCAACCCAGGTTCGATCCCTGGCACCCCGTAGGGTCCCCTGAGCCTGCCAGGAGTGATTCCTGAGGGCAGAGCCAGGAGTAACCTCTAAGGACTGCTGGGTGTGCCCCCCCCAAAAAAAAGAAACGAAAAAGAAATTGAGGCGAGATGCCTGCAAGACCCCCAGCCCTGCTCACCCCCCGCGCCCGGAGTCTATAACTCTATTTTAGAAATTCATGCACTGCTTATTTGTGACATAAACCCCCACAGAGAAACAAAGTCAGTAATAAATTTTGAAGAAATCGGTGCTTTCGAGGCGCGCGCGAGGCACTGCATCTCGCCCGGACGCGGCGCTCCCTCTCCGGGCGACAAGACTGGGGCTGTCAGCCGAGCAAGCCCTGCGTCTCCGCCTGTAATTGTATTGACAGGCGGGAAGGCTGTGCGGTGACAGGCCCGTGACGGGGCCTTGAAGGCTTCCGTACCGCTGCGCGTCCCGGGATTGTGAGGGAACCGAGTGGGGCGGGCGGGAGCAGGAGCTGGCTGCTTGAGCTCCTCATTTCCTGCCTTCCTGCCTGTGAGTCACGTTCCAAGGGACGCTTGCAGCCCCGCACACAGTGTCTGCAGGAGGTGGAGGCGCCCACGGCCACAGGACACGAAGGGCCAATGCTGGCCCTCTCCAGGGGAGTGTTTGTGGGCAGAACCGCTGCAGGAGGTGTGAGGTGCTCCCAGAGGGTGCTCTGGAAGAGCCAGTACAGGATGAGCAGGGCTGGACATGTGGGCGCCCAGCCCCTTCAGGCCAGTGTCTGTCTTTATCTTAGGTGCAAAAGTCCTGATCCTTTTTCTGCAGAGAGTGGCCACGCCCCCCACCCCAACCCTGGGCCCAGAGGAACCAGCATTTCTTTTTTTTTTGTGGGGGAGGGAGGGTGTCACACCCAGCGATGCTCAGGGATTACCCCTGGCTCTGCACTCAGGGATCACTCCTGGTGGTACTTGGGGGACCATATGGGATGCCGGGGATCGAACCCAGGTCGGCCACCTGCAAGGCAAACGCCCTACCCCCTGTGCTATCGCACATTTCTAAGGCATGAGCTACACCCAGTCCCCAGGCCATGGGCAGGTTTCAACTCAAACTTGTAGTGTAAACCCTACGTCCCAAAGATACTACAAGACACTGAACACAAGTCTCTGCACCCACGAGGCCCAAGCTCTGTCCCCAGCTCACACAGTCCCCCAGACACTGCTGGGAATGACCCTCAGCACTGACCAGGAGTATCCCCTGAGCAGTAATGGATGTGACCCAAAAGGAAGGAAGGAAGGAAAGAAGGAAGGAAGGAAGGAAGGAAGGAAGGAAGAGAGGGAGGGAGGGAGGGAGGGAGGGAGGGAGGGAAGAGGAAGGGAGGAGGAAAAAAAGAAAAGGAAAGAAGGAAAGAGGGAGGAAGGAAGGGAGGGAGGAAGAGAATAAGGAGGGAAAGAGGGAAAGGAGGAAGGGAGGGAAGGAGGGAGGGACCCCAAGGCGGCGGGCACCCCCATACTCAGCCTGCCACCAGAAGGAACACAGGCCCCTAGACGGGAAGCCCTGACCCTGTGGAGCAAACGGAGAGAGAAATCTACAAGCCACGAAACCTCAGGAACCTTTAAAAGCGGGTTTGCAGAAGTTGCGCGTGATCTTGAAGCCCGTTGCTCTTCTCTTGAAAGCCCCCCTTGGCCTCTGCCTTTAACCTAGGCAGCCCCCAGCACCGCGGAGGGTGGGCTGGGGGCAAGACTTCAGGGAGGGTCCGGAGCCCGCGCCCTCGGGCCTCGCCCCCGCCTCGGCCACCGCGGGCGTCCGCTGGAGACACCCGGCGCGCGGGCAGAGAGCGGGGGGGGGGGGGGGGAGGGGCAAAGCCCGCGAGCCCCCCGCCCGCCCGCGGCGCGCTCCCGCCCGGCCCCGGCGCGCACGCGGCGGCCCGGCCGCAGAAACTGTCCGCCAGCGCCGCTCAGTGGCCGCCGGGGCGGGAGCAGGAGCGCGGGAGGAACCGAGTCCGGGCGTTGGCGCTCGGGACCCCCGGCCGGCCCGGCACCGCCCCCGTGACGGCGCCGGGAGGGACCGACCCGGAACACGGCCGGGTGTGGCCCCGAGCAAGACCCAAACGGGGGCCGGGCGCTCGCTTCCGCGCAGCTGACTCGGGTGGCACTTGGGGTGCACCCCGGGAGCGACCCCCGAGCACCGCCCCGGGAAGGCTCGGACGTGCGCCTCGTCTGTGTGAATGTCACATACGGTGTGGGCACACGTGTGCGTGTGTGGGCACGCACGTGCGTGGGAAGCGGTGTGCGCACGTCTGCGCCCGTGCGTTCGTGCCCGCCGTACTGCTCTTTGGTGTTCACTCGGCCTGGTGCCCGCAGCCCACTATCAAGGTCTTATGTGAGGGGGCGTCGGTTCTTCCCCCGGCTCCAGAAGGGTGGACCCCGTGCTCGGTGGAAGCTGCTGAGCCAAGTGAGGTCGGGGCCGGAGAGACAGAACCGCGTTTGCCTTGCGTGCGCCCCCGCACCCGGGTTCGATCCCCCGCACCCCGCATGGTCCCGCGGGCACCGCCAGGAGTGATTTCTGAGCGCGGATCCGGGTGTGAGCCCTGAGCATCGCGGGTGCGCCCCCCAAAAGAAAAGGGAAGGAAAGAGACAAGCGAAGGGGGGGCAGAGAGCCAGTACGGCGGGAGGGGCCACGCGGGGGTCGTGTCCCGGCACCCCGTGCAGTCCCCTGGGCCCACCCGGAGGGGTCCCCGAGCGCGGTCAGGAGTAAGCCTGAGCACCAGCAGTGCGGCCCCCAGAGAACTCCGTGAAGGCGCTCGTTCCGCGGGGGGCGCGGGGGACGGGACCCAGGGGAGGGGCGCGGGTGCGTCGCCGCCGCGAATCCCAGCGCCGTGGCCGCATTTCTGGGAGGACGCTGCCCCCTAGCGGCGAGGGGTGGACCCGCAGCCGCCGCACCTGCCTTCGCGGGGGGTTCCGGGGGTCCCAGAGGGTTTCTCAGCGCACCCCCGCAGGCCGCCTTCGAGTTTGCTCCTCCGGTGGGGGGGAGACGCGGGGCTGGGGGCTGGGGGACGCGGCGGGCGCGGGGGCCTACCCCGGGGGGCGCGGCCCGGCGTGCGTCCGTCCCGGAGAGCCGCGCACGCCGGAGGGGCGGGGGTCTCACCTTGACGATGAGCGGGTTCTGCAGCATCGAGTCCCGCACGACCCCCAGCCGCTCGTTCTCCATGCCCGGCCGGATGTCGGCCACGGTCAGGGGTCTCCGCGGCGGCGGGCAGATCTGGCTGACGGTGCGGCGCGGCGGCGGCGGCTTCTTCCAGGGCTTGGGCTGCTCCCGGGGGGTCTCGGGGTCGGGCATCGCGGGGGTCCGGCGGCCTCGGGCGGCCCGGGGAGCTGGGCGGCGCCGGCCGCGCCCCTCGGCCGCACCACGCGGGCCCGGGGGTGGGCGCGGGGCGCCGGAGCCCCCGACGGCGGGGCCGCCGAGCCCCCGGCAACGCCTCCCCGGCGGCAGGGAGCCCCCAGCCCCACGGGGCCCGGGACGCCCGCGGACGGGCCCCCGCGCGGCGCGCCGCCCTCGGCCCGCAGAGACCGCGCCGGACGCCCCCTCGGGGACGGTGGTTCGGCCCGTCTCCATGGCGACGGGACGCCAACGGCGCGCAGGGGCACGCGCGCCCGCCGCCAACTTTCTCGGGCGCACTCGGACCGGCCGCAGAGGGTCCTGCGCGCCCCTCCGCGCCCTCACCCGACGGCCCTTCCCGCGCCGCCTCTCACTGCTAGGGGGTCTGCAGGTCCGCGGCCGGATCTCGGAGGTCTGGCTCTCTGGCAGCCTTGATTTTTTCCCTCTATGAGCAGTGCGGAGGGGCCGCGGGGAGTCCGGGGAGTCCTCGAGGTGAAGGCCCTTGCCTTGCGCAGCCGATTCGGGCTGGGAACAGCCCCCCGCACCCAGGGGGTCCCCCGAGCCCCCGGAGGAATGCTCCATTCCTAGGCGCAGAGCCAGGAGTAAGCCTTGAAGACCGAGGTGGGGCCCACCCCCTCCCCCGAAAAAAAAGAAAACGAAATGGTGTGGAGTAGCGGCGCGAGATCCCTTGCGATCCGCTTTCAGAAGCATGTAGGGGAAATTAAAAACGGCCGCCTCAGGGGATCAGAGTAACTGAAATAGGGCCTGTAGACCCCCGGTTAAACTCTCATTCTGAGTCCGGAGTGGATAGTACACTGGGTAGAGTGCTTGCCTTGCACGCCGACAACCTGGGTTCCATCTCTGGCACCCTATCTGTTCCCTGAAGCCATCAGGAGTGATCCCTGGGTCGAGGACCAGAAGGAAGGAAGCCCTGAGCTGGTCTGAGCTGCGTGGGGAGGGAGGGAGGGAGGGAGGAAGGAAGGAAGGAAGGAAGGAAGGAAGGAAGGAAGGAAGGGAGAAAAGGAGAATACAGAGCCAGGAGTAAGCGCTGAGCATCACTGAATGTGGCCCCAAGACCAAAAAAAAAAAAAAGTACATTCCCAGAGGCCTGAGTGATAGTCCAGCCTTTGCCTTGCCCGTGGCCAACCCAGGCCCAATCCTGGCATCCCCTATGGCCCCCTGAGCACTGCCAGAATAAATTCTCAAGTGCAGAGCCAGGAGTAAACCCTGAGCACCGCCAGGTATGCCCCATAAACCAAAAAAAAATTTTAATAAAATTTTTTTTAAAGTGTACATTTCCAGGTTACCAAGGTGAGAGTAGGGTCCTTTCAACGATCCTGTCAGGCCCCCCGAACCAGCCAGCTTGACTGGTCCTGCTCTACAGGGTGGGCAGGGATCTCTTCCTCAGCCTCCTGTCCTTAAGGTTTGTCACTCTGGATTTCTGTGCATGAGTGTGTGCAAATCCCTCTGGAAATTCCTGCAGAAAATATCTTATGTGACTGTCCACAGCGCGAACCTCCAAGAGCAGCGGGTCACCTTCCCCACTCCGAGGTCACTGCAGGAGTCTCCTGTGGGGCTGTGTGCAGATGTCCATGGGCACTATGACAGGTCCCCAGAGTTTGTTTATTCAGCTACACCCAGCCGTGCTTGGGGCTTACTTCTAGCTCTGCACTCTGGGATCACTCCTGGAGGGTTCTGGACATCATGTGGGATGCCGGGGATCAAACCCAGGTCAGCTGCATGCAAGGCAAGCACCCTCTCTGCTGTCCTATGGCTCTGGCCCAAGTGCTCAGGCTTTGGGAAGCTGTGACTGGATTATTCTGCCTTTTGTGGGTAGCTGCCTTCTCCTTTCATTAACTGTGAGAGGTGCTGGGAGGTCACTCCTCCCCAGTCCAGACTAAGCCAGGCCCACTTTCAATGGCTGTTTCTTTTTTTGCAGGGGAGAGTCACACCTGGCGATGCACAGGGGTTACTCCTGGCTCTGCACTCAGGAGTTACTCCTGGAGGTGCTCAGAGAACCAAGGTAGGGCATTTGCCTTGCACGCGGCTGACCCGGGTTCGATTCCCAGCATTCCATATGGTCCCCCGAGCACCGCCAGGAGCAATTCCTCACTCTGACTCTGAATGCAGAGCCAGGAGTAAACCGTGAGCATCGCTGGGTGTGACCCAAAAAGCAAAGAAAGAAAAAAGAAACAAGGCAGGTCCATGCAGAGTGTGGACTCAACATGCAAGAGATTCTGGAGCCTGGTTATCTGGAGGGCTGGAGCAATAGCACAGGAGGTAGGGCATTTGCCTTGCATGCAGCCAACATGGCCAACCCGAGTTCAATTCCTCCACCCCTCTCTGAGAGCCCGGCAAGCTACCAAGAGTATCTCGCCTGCTCAGCAAAGCCTGGCAAGCTCCCCGTGACGTATTCGATATGCCAAACACAGTAACAATTGTCACAATGGAGACGTGACTGGGCCCGCTCAAGCAAATCGATGAACAACGGGAGGACAGTGACAGTGACAGATTATCTGGAAACAGGGCACAGGGAAGTCGGTGATTGTTGGGCCTGGCACCCTAATGGGAAAGAAAAGAAACTAGAGAGAAATAGAGGGGAAAAGAGGGGCCGGAGTGAGAGCACTGTGGGAAGAGCATTTTGCACGTGGTCTACCTGTCCCGTTCCCTGGCACCAGTGAACCAAGAACAAAACCTAACAAATACAAGCATAACTATTCTTTGGGTTTTGATTTGGGTCACTGTAGGATAACATTGGTTTGTCCTTTCTCCCTTGCCACAGGGAACTTAGTTTTATCAGGTTACTCCCATCACAGTGCTCCCAAGTCACTCCCATTCTTCTGTGCTTATCCGTAACTTCTATGCTCTCTTTCCCAACCAGTTAATCACCTTTTTCCCCTAATCAGATTCGATTAACTTGTAATGTCAGATCCTTCTAAGGACACTGAACTGGTATTGTAAGTTAATATCGCCTTTCTCCTCTCCTTATATCTTTTGAATAGTTTATTTATTTATTTATTGCTTTTTGGTCACACCTGGAGATGCTCAGGGGTTACTCCTGGCTTTGCGCTCAGGAATTACTCCTGGCAATGCTTGGGGGACCATAGGGGATGCTGGGAATAGAACCCGGATCAGCCGCATGCAAGGCAAAGCCCTACCCACTGTACTATCGCTCCAGCCCCAAGAATAGTTTACTTTAAAGCAATGTCCTTTTTGTATGGACAAAGGAAGACAGTTAATATTATGCTTTTGTAACTTGGGAGTAAATTGTCTCCAAACAATCTGCACTCTGGGGCATCTGCTTCCTCGACTTAAGCCTCAGTTGCCCTCAGTTCCTAGCACCCCAAAAGCAGGGTCCCGACGAGGGACTGAATGGCCCCAGGGCAAGCTGTGAGCTACCCTGGCATCGAAATGGGCCAGGCCAAAGCTTGATCATGGACAAATGCTGTCATGATCCAAAAGTATCGATGTGATTAGGACCCTGCTAGGGATAGGAAAGACTAATCTGGCCTGAGCACTGTAGATTGAGATGGCCCTAGGAGAGCAATCCTATAAGCTTAATGTATCTCTTATTGTGTCCAAACAAAAAGATTAATATTCTGAATGCTTATATGTTTGTTGGACAAGGAGAGGAGAAACACACCCATGGGATTCTCTTCTTGGGTGGGTCATCCTGCTGCATGAGAATCTGTCCTAGAAGCAGCTTCCCCTGAGGGAAAGACTTTACCTCTGTTATCTGTATGACCACACCTACTGTAATTATTACCCCAACCCCTCCTGCTTTGGGATTTAACTAGGCTGTGAGAGGGGGCTGGGGAAACTAGAAGGAGAATGAAGTGGCATGGGGGAGGGAGAGAATGGAGATGGGAATGGAATAAACTGCAATTGAGACCAAGCAGCCTGGCCCTCATCCCTTCCTTCGCCTGCCCATTGCCATCAGACTCCCCGGGGTGGGGAAAGCGGCCTGAGACTACTGAAAGGGGGGCCGGCCGGAGAGAGAGAGCCCTTTAATAAATACACAGGCCATGCCCTGCAGTGCTCTGGACTAAGTCCGGGCTCTGCGCTCCTAGCAGTGATTAAAGTGGTTAAAGTCAGCTCTGAGGGGACTGGAGTGATAGCACAGCGGGTAGGGCGTTTGCCTTGCACGCGGCCGACCCAGGTTCGATTCCCAGCATCCCATCTGGTCCCCTCAGCACTGCCTCAGCACTGCCAGGAGTAATTCCTGAGTGCAGAGCCAGGAGTAACCCCTGTGCATCGCTAGGTGTGACCCAGAAAACAAAATAAATAAATAAGTAAATAAATAAAATAAAGTCAGCTCTGAGGCCCCCCAGAGTACGACCTCATGCCTCACCCACCCCCGCAGCCAGCAAGCTGCACCCACGGCCCACTTGTTCTGCAGGGGTGGGAGAACACCCGACCCCCTCTCTGGGAGCAGGGAGCACTCTGTGCAGGAGAGGAAAGTGAGTCCCAGACAGCACCCAGGGCTTGGGGCTCACCTTTCCCTCACAGAAAAGAACTCGAAGGGTCAGAGCAATAGTACAGCAGGTAAGGCGCTTCTTGCTTTGCATGCAGCCGACCCGGCTTCCATCCTAGGCGTCCCATAGGGTCCCCCAAGAGTGATTCCTGAGTGCAGACCAGGAGTAATCCCTAAGCATTACCACACCTCCGCCAAGAAAAATAAATTCAGGAGGAAATGAATAGTGAAGAAAAAAAACCTGCTTTACTTAGACATTTGAAAAAGAAGAGAGGGAGAGGGGGCGGGGAGAGAGAGTGCCCAGAATGAGAAGGTCCAGGCTGTCGAGTTTCAAGTGGACACGAGACCTGGGACAACGCAGTGTGCTCAGGAAGGGACGGACAGACAGCTACATGTCCAGAATGGCTCGAGCTCGATTTGCTCGAGCGGGCCCAGTAACGTCTCCATTGGAGACTTTGTTGTTACTGTGTTTGGCATATCCAATACG